TTCCATAGATTCCCACCGATCTGTTAATGATTTTTACATATTTCTTGAAGAGGCAATTGTTTCTTGAAAAATAAAGAAACAGAACATTATCTATAAGTCTCATTCTGAAGCTAAGTATTGGGATTTGGCTGCAGTTACTTGTGAGTTACAACGATTGAAGTATTTATTTGATGATTCGTATATAACTTTTCAAACAACAACATTATATTGTAGCAAGTTATCCGCTATTAAGATCGCGAAAAATCTGATTTTTCATTAATGGAGCAAGCACATAGAAAATCTGTATATCCAACATGGGAATACAAAATTTGTATACTCCATCTTGAAGGAGGCTATTAGAATACTTAACAAGTCTTGTTAAAACTTATTATATGATTGTAATTACTGTATTTTGTCGGGTCTTATTTACAAATGTTATATTGTTATGGTTAATTTTATAAATATCAAAAATATTGTTTCTCTCTTGGTGTAAGTACTGAAGCTCCTCATTAATAAAAATTGATCAACATTTTCATTTTTCAATTCCTCTCATTTGATTATTTTTTCTTTTGAGATCTTGTTCTTTTTCTAGAAATTTTCTTCATAAATTTGGCTAAATCTCTGTGAGTTTTTGTTCTAGCTTGCATATTTTTAATTCCTCTACAAGTTTATGAAAATTAACTTGATCTTCATTTTGTTAACCTTATTGTCGTCCTTCAATAGCAACACGATACATGTGTTCGTCGTGGGTGCTGATTGAATCGAATTAAATTGGACCTCCCCAATTGGCTTATTAGTCTGAATCAATGGAAATTGGATTTAACGAATATTATTATTATCTCCTTATTCTAAAATACAATTTGGTTTGATATATATTTTTGTGACGATACTGATAATGAGTTTAGTTGTCGTTTTGGATTGTATTATGCGGGGATGAATGGTGGAAGATGTCGTTTTGGTGACTCCTGATATTTATGTATTTACGTGGAAGCGGGCCCCATTCTCCACAAGTTTGGCGAATTAGATTTCTAGCCGGGCCCACCGTCATAATTGTGGTTTACCAAAGGTGTACAGTACACTCGTATGCACTTGATCATTCTTGGCCCCATTTTAAGAATAATAAATTGCCGAACAACTAAAATACTATTTTCACATGCCTTGCTTCTCCGCTTCTGGAAAGAAAGCAAATGCAGAACGGCCACACACATTTATGTATTTACGCGTCTGTAGAGGGTGTGTATATGTGTGTGTATATATATACATGACAGGGAAGTATCACCCTAGAAGATGTAGAAATAGGAAAAACAAAAACCAGAAAGACAACCAAACAGAGAGATGGAGAAGATAGAGCATGCTACAGTCGCTACCAATGGAATCAACATGCATGTTGCATCAATCGGTAAAGGTCCAGTCATCCTCTTTATCCATGGCTTCCCCGAACTCTGGTACACCTGGCGCCACCAGCTCCTCGCTCTCTCCGCTCTCGGCTACCGCGCCATAGCCCCTGACCTCCGCGGCTACGGCGACACCGACGCTCCTCCTTCTATCGAATCCTACACCGTTCTCCACATCGTCGGCGACCTCGTTGGCCTCCTTGACGCGCTCGGTATTGACCAGGTGTTCTTAGTCGGCCACGACTGGGGCGCTTTCATCGCATGGCATTTTTGCTTGTTTCGCCCCGATAGAATCAAAGCCCTGGTTAATCTGAGCGTTGCGTTGAATCCAAGGAACCCGGTGAGGAAGCCGGTAGAGTCATTTAGGGCTTTGTTCGGCGACGATTACTACATTTGCAGGTTTCAGGTGAGAGAGATTGATGCTACTCGATGATTATTTTGAAAATTTAACCATAATTTGTTTGCTCGATTGGTTTAGTTATCAGTAGGTTCTAAGCATTGAATTTGTAATTAGAGTTTCTATATCTAGAATTATATATATATGTATGCATTAATGGTGAAAAGTACAGCTTAATTTCCTTTTAATTAGTATTATTGTTCATTAAAGCATTACCAACTCCGGGTAATTTAGGTTACAGAGGTGTTCGGATTCACTTTTCTTTAAGTGGTAAGATTTGTATCTTTTTATTTTAGGGTATAAAAGATAGTGAATGTTTCCTGGAATTAGACATCTTTATCTGTTTGTTCAAAGTTCCTATATAATTCATCTGGAATTGCTTATTACAGAGCAGTAGTACCAAAACATGAGCATCTGCTCACTGTTCTGTGTCCATTGTTCTTGTTCTTGTTTGAATTGCTTCATAAAAATGCATTGATATGATGTTTTCAACTAAGGAACTTACATGTATACCTAAATCCTGGTTTAGGAACCTGGAGAGATTGAAGAAGAATTTGCCCAAGTTGATACTAGAAAACTAATAACTTGTTTTCTGGCATCGCGAAATCCCAAACCGCCTCGATGGCCAAAAGAAAAAGGCTTCCGAAATATTCCTGAGGAACCCTTGCCCTCTTGGCTAACCGAAGAAGATGTCGGATATTACGCCAGCAAATTTAGCCAGAAAGGCTTCACTGGTGGACTGAACTACTATCGAGCTATGAACCTGTATGAACGGTTATACAGTTCATTTTTTTAGACATTGAATCTTCTTGGTTTATACTTGTCATCTGGGTCATGATACTCACCTTCCGTTCTTTTCTGATTTTCCACTCATTTGGGTTTTCAAAATCTGCTCTTCTTGGTTTATTGCTAAAAATTCAAAATGCTGTCTTGGGTTCTGTCTGGTTCATGAAACCATCTTCTAGTTTTCATTTTCTGAATTTATATGTGAAGAAAGATGATTAATATGTTTGCAGGAGCTGGGAACTTATAGCGCCATGGACAGGGGTTCAAGTCAAGGTACCAGTTAAATTCATCGTAGGCGACCTGGATATCACCTATAATATCCCTGGTATGAAGGAATACATTCACGGGGACGGCTTTAAAAAATTGGTGCCGTTTCTACAGGAAATAGTTGTGATGGAAGGAGTAGCTCACTTCATCAACCAAGAAAAGCCAGAGGAAATTAGTGCACACATTTACAAGTTCTTCAAGAAGTTCTGATTTTCTGATAACTTGACTTGCCTTTCTTCTGTCCGCCTCTGATTTCCCGTTGTTCCGTGGCTTTGGCCTTTTGTCTGATTTCGATTAGTATAACAAGTTCTTCATATCAGAGAATTACTTCAATAGAAGTGTTTTCTCAATGGAAGAAAATAAGAATGATATGTACTTGGCAGGTCTTGAAAATTAGTTCTTTTGTTCTTCCTTTTAACACAATTCACATCCTCAAATTTCTAGTTTTATTTTTTTCATAAAAATCCTGCGAAACACAAATATATTTTCTAAAAAAGGAACAATTTTTACATAGAATAACAGAAAATTAACAGTTGAAAACACAATTTAAATTATAAAGGAAAACTTACATTTTTACCCACTCCGCTCAGTAACTTTCTGCTAAAATAAAAAAAAAGAACCAACCTCAGTAGTTATCACGTTCATTTTCATTTCAATTTTTCACATGTTATTTTTTTCTTTTTTGAGAAACATGAAAAATCAATTCTAGTGATTAAAAACTTCCCAGAAATTTTTAATTTTGCAAATATCTCTCCAAAATTTACAAATTAAGAAATTAAAACAATTTCTTTTGAACTTATCTCCAAGAAACTAGATAGTAACTTCAACGTTTCCAACCCAAAAATACACAGTCCAAAGTTATAGGTTAAAACCTGACAAAATAACACTCTTACACAAAGATTTGAGAAAAAAAAACCAAAAGGCAATTGCAAATTTATAGATCTCTCTCTGCTTGGATAGGTGTCGTTTGCATGGTTTGCTTTTTCCTTCCAAGAATCCAACTTAAACCCTGAAGCCTTTGCTGTTTCTTCTACCTCTAGCCCTCTCAAATTTTCTTCCCTTTGATCGTACATAGGGTTTGGTGTGGCTATGAGGCACACCAGGAGCTGGTCCAAAGTGCTTCACGGCCTCACGGGCATTCTTAGGACCACGGAGTAAAACCTATATCATTTGGCCAGAAGAGTTTTCGATTAAAAATAATCAAACCGTGCTAATCAGATTAGAATGTCATGCAAGGCTTTGCATTACAACAATCAAAATTTGAAGTGCTAGCTGGCAAAGTAAAGGCCTGAAAGCTGGCAAACAAGAGATATCCACATCCAAAAATGATTAACTTTGCAATTTCCAAGGTAACAATCCAAGAAATTTTGGAGTCATGCTAGCAATTCTAAAAGCCCCAACTACAGGTGATTAATCAGAGTAGCATGATTCGATAAAGCCCCAAATTCTATTAAGTTGAAGTACCTTGACCGAACTAAAAGGCACTTGATCAGCATGGCAGCCCTAGTCAATATCCTAACCATCTCAAGCAGGCTTAAAGCTTATGACATTGCTGAAATGTAAACATTTCTGCTAGTTTTGTATGGACTTATTAGGCTATTTGCATACAGTATTCTACATTTGAAAACCATCCCAGCTGCTACAAAGAGAACAGTGACATTGCTCTTACTCCCCTTCCAATTATATAATAGTTGTCTATTGAAAACAGAAAACAAGTGGAAAGGCCAAAGATCTATGAGACCTGAGCAAGGTAAATGCACAAAAATTTAAAGATTGGAAACATTCCAACGCCAACAAAGAGAACTATCCAAGCATCAAAAACTATTAGCAAAATGACAAAACATAGCTGAAGCTATAAATGGGGGAAAAACTCGATTTCATAATTATAGAGGCAGAGGAAGCAAAAAAATCTTCTTCCCACTTTTTATACTTTCAGAACTATTATTATTTATGAAAAAAAACATAAAATTACCAAGTAAACATAACCCATCATTTAATCTGTTGCAACCAATACACAGAAGTAATTCAAATTAGAAGCATTACTGGAGTAAATGAAATTCAATAACAAAATAAGGCTAGGATACATACCGTGTTCTGCCCAAGAGGAGCACGAAGGGCCAGTTGATCAAATGTTAAACACTCCCCACCAGCCTTCTCAATCCTTGCTCTTGCAGTCTCGGTGAACCTCAATGCAGTAACCTTAAGAGCTGGGACTTCATACACTCTAACATCGTCTGTTACAGTCCCAACAACCACAGCAATCTTGCCCTCCTAATGAATCAACAACATAAAAGAGCATAGCCTATAAGTTTAAAACCAATAACTACGTAAAAGTTATAACAACAGAAATCTTCTTTGGTCACTATTTAGACTCTACCCTGGCAAAAAATTTACGGAATGCCCAATCAAATTTCACAGCTCACAAATTCACAACCGCAGTTTATATTGCCATCCATAAACTAATTTCAAATATCAAATATTCACTTCGAGGGTTTTGCAAACTAAATGACAATTTCCTACCAATTACCATATTGCATTGGCAAGAACCCAAACTTTGCTCAATTTGCAACTTACCACGAAACGTAAGAAACAGAGAGGATATATTATAAAAAAAGAGTACATAGCTATATGTGTTTACTCTTTTTCATTTCCATGGATCCTTTATAAACCAACAAGCACTTAGAAAAGGTAAGAGATAGGAGACGTACCTTTCCCTCCATGAAACGGATGAGCCGAGAGAGCGATAGAGGTGCCTTGTTGACCTTGCTCATGAAGAGACGTTTCAATATCACGGCATTGAAGTTGCTACCAGTCCTCCTCACCAGAAACCGGTACAACTGATCAGATATCATCTCGGTGTAAACAAAAGCAACATACACGTTTGCAATTACGCACACAAAATGAATACACACACACACACACACAAACATATATATATATATATATATAGAAGGAGAGAGAGAGAAGTAGGGAAAGAGAGAGACCTTGACCAGGAGCTTCAGGTAGATATCGTCAGATTTGGGGGCAGTTCGCTTGGAACCCTTACTCTTACCGCCAGCTACCAAATCGATACCCTGAAATCACAAATAGAAAAGGCAAGTTAGAGAGAGAATACTAGGAAAACTATACTCGGTGCTCGAGGAAGGGAGCGGCCACCATTGCTGCTGGAGTGCTGGTGCTGGTGCTGCCGGCGAGTGCTCAGTTTCAAAGAGACGAGTCACGGAAGACAAAGAAGGGTTGGGGGTTTAAGCTTTTGCACCTTTATATAATTTTTCTAGATAAATAATTTTGGGACACGAGATTTCCCGGTTATTTTAGTAAAAAGGTTATTAATTTCTGTAATTTTGATATTTCATTCAAATTTTAATGGTTATAATTTTCAATACAATAATTTTTTTAATATTTAGTGGGTTTTTTTATAATATTTCTTTCTAATTTAACCATAAAATATTTTTTAAAATATAGTTGATAATACACAAGTATTATCAACTATATTTACGGGTCCAATTCGGATCAACCAAACCCGAACCGTTTTCTTCCATAGCATTGCAGCAATTCAAAGACTGACTGTGTGAATAATTGCTCATCCCATCTGTCACGTTGTGGGCCCAGGCTAGCTCCAAATCAGCTATTAGTTGGTATAATTGGAGGACAGCCTGGATTGACTTGTGGACATGTATCTCTTTGTACATACATATATATATACACACACACACACGCACACTATTAACCACGTATTTGGCTATACATTATTTCAATTATCATTTAAATAATTTCAGAATTAATAATGTTTAAATAAAATTCACTACTTTAAATAGACAGCTTTTAAATAAAATATCCGCATATATCTGTAACTTTAATATAAAAAAATATGTTAATATTTTAATTAATTATAAATATTTAAATTAAAAAATTAATTATTATAAAATATTTATTTTATTTAAATAGTAATAAATTTGTTGAGATTTAATAAGATAATATATATTTTTAAATTTTATAATAATTAAAAGTCAAAATTTACAAACTTTTAAATCAATAAATTTAGCCAATTTTTATAACTCTTCAATAACTATAAATGCATTGAGAGCTACAAAATGTAAACCATACTTTACTTGAGAAGAATTATTATTGTATCGCTGGTTTAATTACGTGTTAATTCTTATATTTTAATTATATTATATATATATATTTAATTATACAATAAAATAAAATGTAAACGTATATTTTTAATTTAATAATAATGTATCATAACTCATAATAATAAATGCATATATTTACTTGTTACTTAATGAATTACGAAAAATACATAATTTGAATTAAATGTGAAATTGATTTATAATTATAATATTATTTTTTAATATTTATGTTATATTATTATTTACATTATACTGTGTTAAAATTTAAATTAATTCAACTATCAAATTGTATATGTTGCTTGCTTGTTGACGTTACTTATTTTTTTAAGTTTCGTGCACGCATTATGAACCAATTAACATGTATATAATTGACTAAAAATTATACTTATCATGTATTTTAAGTAAATTTAAATTGTGTTAAAAAATAATAATAACATGTCAAGTTTATATCAACTCACCTTAATATCTACCCAAAATAATTTAATTGATTGATTGATCGACTATTGGAATAATCTAACCTAATCAATATCTTTATGATACTTAAAAACACTATTTATTATCTACTTGTACGTAATTTTAATTATTTTGTTTAAAATTCTCATTATATTACTCTATCAATTATTACTTTAATATATTATAATTTTAATATATTGTATTTTTATTAAAGTTATTTAAACTATTTATTTAATAAATTAATCTTAATAATACATAATTAAATTTGTGGTTAGCATGAATCACACATCTAATTTCCGTGTTCTGAAAAATCAAATTGGCAGAGAAATCACCCGGCTACCGCCATCACAATATTAAAAATTGAACGCTCAAGATGACCAATATAATTAAAACGACGGCGTTTAACTGATATTACCGTAAACCGCTCTAAATTTCCGATACAAAATCCCCAGCCAGACTAGACTCTGGATGACCGGGAAGTCACCGAGTCAAAATAAATCACTGCCCTTAGTTGAAATGACCGAAATGACCTTCAAGCCTTTCTCTAAGTCCTTGGATATTAGCAGTGTCATTTTAGTCCAAACAAATATCGTCTTTGTCCGAACAAGCCGTTCTCATCCTCTTTCTCTCTCTCCTCCTACATCTCCTCCCTGCTTTTCCGCCACCACCATTGATTCCTGCACCAGCAACAGATTAACGGTTACCAACCAGAGATAGTGAAAAGGAGAAATGCAGACGACGAAGGCGCGGCGTAAAGTGGCTCCCTCCACGGGAGATGGAGGCGATTCGGCGGAGAAGTTGGACCAGCTGCTGCTGTCGTCGGCCATATGCAACGGGGAGGACTTGGGACCGTTCGTGAGGAAGGTGTTCGCGTCGGGGAAGCCGGAGACACTGCTTCACCATCTCCGGCACTTCGCGCGGTCCAAGGAGTCCGAGATCGAGGAGGTTTGCAAGGCTCACTACCAGGATTTCATCCTCGCCGTCGATGACCTTCGATCTCTCCTTTCGGATGTTGATTCTCTGAAATCCTCTCTCTATGACTCTAACTCCCGTCTTCAGTCCGTCGCTGGACCCCTGCTCTCTTCCCTCGACTCCTACGTCGAGGCTCAAAACGTGTCAAAGAACGTTAATCATGCCTTGTCTTCTATCGTCTACTGTATCAAACTGATGGAGGTATGCTCCAGGGCGAATCAACATCTTTCCAGTGATAATTTTTACATGGCTTTGAAGTGCGTCGATTCAATCGAGACGCAGTTCCTTGACAAAACACCGTCCTCCACGCTCAAGAGGATGCTCGAGAGCAAGACTCCAGCGATTCGATCGCACATCGAGAGGAAGGTAAGCAAGGAATTTGGGGATTGGCTCGTGGAGATCCGCGTGGTAAGCAGGAACTTAGGGCAACTGGCGATTGGGCAAGCATCGTCCGCCAGGCAGCGGGAGGAGGAGCTCAGGATCAAACAGAGGCAAGCCGAGGAACAGAGCCGACTCAGCTTGCGAGATTGCGTATACGCCTTGGAGGAAGAAGACGAGGAGGATGGTGTCAATAGTGGTGGCCTCGTGGATGACGGTAAGGATGGGTATAGCAATGGTAATAGTGGTTTAGGATTTGATTTGACTCCGCTTTATAGAGCTTACCACATCCACCAGACTCTAGGCCTCGAAGATCGATTCAAGCAGTACTACTTCGAGAACCGAAAGCTTCAATTGACATCAGATTTTCAGGTATCTTCAATGACTCCTTTTCTTGAATCTCACCAGACATTTTTTGCTCAAATTGCGGGATTTTTCATAGTGGAAGATCGGGTTTTGAGGACTGGTGGGGGTTTGATTTCGAAAATGGATGTTGAAAACTTGTGGGAGACGGCTGTTAGTAAAATGTGTTCCGTGTTAGAAGATCAGTTCTCTAGGATGCAAACCGCCAATCATCTATTGTTGATTAAGGACTATGTGAGTTTGTTAGGGGTGACTTTGCGAAGGTATGGATATCCGGTTGATGCCCTGCTTGATGTTTTGAGCAAGCATAGAGATAAATACCACGAACTACTGTTATCAGATTGCAGTAAACAGATTGCAGAAGCACTTGCTGCTGACAAGTTCGAGCAGATGCTTATGAAGAAAGAGTATGAATATTCTATGAACGTGCTTTCTTTTCAGATACAGACATCAGACATTATACCAGCATTTCCTTATGTTGCTCCATTCTCATCTACGGTGCCTGATTGTTGCCGAATTGTGCGGTCTTTTATCGAGGATTCTGTTAGCTTTATGTCATATGGAGGGCAGCTCGATTTTTTTGATGTTGTTAAGAAGCATTTGGATAGACTTCTGAGCGAAGTTTTAGATGGAGCACTGTTAAAGCTCATTAACACATCTGTTCATGGGGTTTCTCAAGCCATGCAGGTTGCAGCAAATATGGCTGTACTGGAGCGTGCTTGTGATTTCTTCTTCTGTCATGCTGCACAGCTTTCAGGGATTCCCTTAAGAATGGCAGAGAGGGGTAGGAGACAGTTCCCATTAAACGATGCCCGAGATAAAGCAGAAGAGATGCTATCTGGGTTGCTCAAACAGAAGGTTGATGGCTTCATGATATTGCTTGAGAATGTAAATTGGATGGCTGATGAGCCTTTGCAAGGTGGAAATGAATATGTGAATGAAGTTATAATATACTTAGAAACTTTGGTTTCAACTGCGCAACAGATATTACCAGCTCAAGTTCTTAAAAGGGTTTTGCAAGAGGTTCTTTCCCACATATCAGAGAAGATTGTTGGAACCTTGTTAGGGGACTCAGTTAAGAGGTTTAATGTAAATGCTATCATGGGGCTTGATGTAGATATTCGGTTGTTGGAATCTTTTGCAGAGAACCACTCTCCATTGATCACAGATGTGGAGGCAAATCAGTTGAAAATGGCACTTGCAGAGTCAAGACAGTTGATCAGTTTGCTTTTGAGCAATCATCCAGAGAACTTTTTGAATCCAGTGATCAGAGAGAGGAGTTACAATACTCTGGACTACAGGAAAGTTGTTACAATTTCAGAGAAGCTGAGGGATCCTTCAGATAGACTATTTGGAACTTTTGGAAGTAGGGGAGCCCGGCAGAATCCAAAGAAGAAGTCACTTGATGCCTTGATTAAAAGACTCAGGGATGCAAGCTGATACCACCAAGCTTAAAGTATGGCATTGATTGGGATTTGCACTATTTCATAGTGGTCAATTGCTAATTCTATTTTCTTCTGATAATGCCTACAATTTTTTCTTGATAGATGTGAAAATTTCATTTGTATGTATCAGTCTCATACTCATGCATCAGTCATTCAGTTGTATTAAATTCTTTTCAGCCATAGTAATGAATTTCCTGTTCCTGCTTTTCATGTCTCTCGGCTACTCTATCAGGTTACAGGTAGGCAAATTCTATGCTCTTTCTACCTCCTTCCCCATTCCCCAAAGAAAAGGTGGGCAACCTTCTACTCTGAATCTTTTTTTTGTAGGTAAGGATGATGGTCGGTACAATTCAGTCTCGCATGCTTGTAGTCATTTGAGGTCATGGATCAACAATGCTATCTTTTGATAGAGTTGGAAAATTTTATTGTTTCATTGTCATATATATATATATATATATAATATTGGTCAGTGTGAATTTTGTAGTTGGAAGTTTGATTTTTTTCTTATTAGGGATGTGTTCATTGTGATTCTATTCTTACATTTTACATGTGTGCACAACTAGGAGCACACTTATATACTAAGTTTAATGAGATCAGTGAGCATAGATGGACAGTTAGTAGATAGAGATGGGTTAGG